CTCATCCCACGGCTTGGTCGCCTTTTTGTATTCATTTCGGTTTGACTGACAATTCAAGAGTATAAGCTGTGTTTGTCAAATCTCAGTAATCTCACAAAACTGGACTTGACTTTTCCCGAGGGCATGTTATATATCGTCAGTAACGCCCTACAAAGTAAGACTTATTGCTTAATATATATTTGTCGGTGCTAATTATCAAGCGTGGTTCCATTTGCCCATGGCTATTTCTATTCTTTTAACTATCAGTGATAATTACTCCGGCTTCCCGTTTGCCCATTGTCCATTGCCAATTACTAAACAGTGATAATTTAAGACCTGGCTTCCAGTTGTCCATTACTATCAGCGCTATTTACTGTAAAGAGTTGGCTTTCATTGTCTATTGCTAATCACCTATCAGCGTCAATTTTCTGTTGGCTTCCCTTGTTTAGTTTCAACCCTTTCGTATCTTATTACTTTTGTTGTTCTTACATGTACATATATATGCTCTCTGCCTCATAGCATTGAAAAGAACTCACCGAATAAAATAAAAAATAAAAAATAAATCACCAATCACCCGAACCCAATAATGGAAGGACTAAATATTTTTCAGACGAACGCCAACAGACTCATCTCCCACGGCCATGAACTAAAAACTAAATTTAAACTAAATAAAGGCCCTCACATTGTTTGTATACAGGAAACCAAATTCTCAAACAAAATCCAAATTCACACTACCTAACCACAACTCAGTTAGAACTGACAGAGCTAAACCGAAAACAAGAAGAGCCGCAGGAGGACTAATCATATTTATCAGGGAAGATATAAATTACGAAGAAATAAAAATAGACACGCCAAACCTAGAAGCCAACGGCATTAAAATCATATTAAATAACCGAAACATAAACATCATAAATATTGGGACCAATTCCAAGATATCTGCAACGAAGCTAAATTAAACGAAAAAGAAAATAGTGATCCAGAAACCTATTGTAAAAACCTAACAGACTATATAATAAACGCAGCCAAAACCTCCATCCCCTTCAAAACATCTAAGACAGCTGCAGGCAAACCGACAGTACCATGGTGGAATGAGGAAATAGAACAGACTAGACGAAAACGTAAATCAGCCTTCAATAAAGCAAAACGCGACTACAAATATTTAAACATAGCCCACGAACTAAACCACCAGGTTCAAAAACTAGTCCAAATAGCCAAAAGTAGAGACTGGAAAAAATTCTGCGAAGGTATAAATAACCGTACAGATGCCAGAATGGTCTGGCGCAAAATCCACGCCATCAGAGGCTTAAAACGACATAAAAAAAACCTTAACATTGACAACTCAACCAACCCCGCCCAAAAAGCAAATAATCTCGCCAACCACTTTTCATGCGGTTAGCAGTAACACCAACTTCAGTCAAAAATTCCAAGATAAACTTAAAACAGAAAACAATCCCACAAAAGAACCAAACAATAAAAATCTAGAAATAAATCAACCCTACACAATGGAGGAGCTCCTCTACGTAATCCAAAACAGGAAAAAGGGCACAGCCCCAGGATTAGACCTAACTTCTTACCAAATAATTAAAAAACTCCCCCTTAAACTACTCCAGGCACTACTCAAACTATACAATCTCATCTACCTAAACGGACAGGTTCCTACTCCCTGGAAACAGGCCCTAGTCATACCAATCCCTAAACCTAATAAACTAGCTAATCAAGCTAACTCATATAGACCAATATCCCTAACTTCAAACTTATGTAAAGTAATGGAATCAATGGCTAAAAATAGATTACAACATTACTTAACCCAAAATAACATCATAAACCCAGATCAAAGCGGTTTTACTCCTGGCCGCTCAACCCTAGATAACCTCGCCCGACTAGAACAAGATATTAAGACAGGACAACTAAATAAACAATATACCACAGGCATCTTCTTAGACTTCTCTAAAGCTTTCGACATGGTATGGCACGATGGGCTAATACAAAAACTTAAAAAAATAGGACTCAAAGATCAGATAATAAACTACATCCAGGACTTCCTAAACAATCGTAAAATAACCGTGGGTATAGACCAAACTCTATCGGACCAATGTCCCCTAGAAAATGGCACTCCACAGGGCAGTATCCTCAGCCCCACCCTCTTCAATATAATGATAAACGATCTATTCGAGGGCCTATCCCCTAAAGTAAACACATCAAAATTCGCGGATGATGGAGCCATCTGGATCCGCACTAAAAGCATGAAAATGGTCCAAAATCTACTCCAAAAATCTCTTAATAAAATACAATGGGCTGACAAATGGGGCTTCTCCCTTAACTCAGAAAAAACAACAGGAATAGTATTCAAACATAAAAACATGAAACCCGCCTCCCCAATCCTCCAGCTAAACAATCAAACAATCAAATTTAAAAAACAAACCAAATTCTTAGGACTTATTTTCGATGAACATCTCACCTGGGATGCTCACATCCAAAACCTAACAACTAAATGCAGTAAAGACCTAAACACCCTAAGATGCCTAACTGGCTCTAACTGGGGAGCCTCCAAAGATACCCTCCTCTCTCTCTACATATCACTAATTAGATCAAAACTAGACTACGGCTGCGCCATATACAGCACCCTAAACAACTCTCTATCTAAAAAACTTGACTCAATACAATATCAGGCTCTCAAACTAATTACACGCACCCAACATGGCACCTCCTACACCTCACTTCAGGCCTTAACAGGAGAAATGCCACTAAGTCTACGCAGGGAACAGCTAAGCTTAAATTTCCGGGCCGCTTCCCAATCAAACTCTCTCATCCAAAACTTAATAAACCAAAACATAAGCCCCAAAAACCAAGCTCTAGCTCGTAAACACCCTTGACTTACCCCAATATCCAAAAGAATAACAAACTAGCTAAATGAACACCAAATTAAAAATCTTAAACAAAACTGCAAACAATCAAGTATCTTCACCCCTAAACTTAAAATACCCAAAATAGACACAACACTAGCTAGCCAAATAAATAAACAAACCGACCCAAGCATAGCTAAAACTACCACACTAGCATACATACACGAAAATTGGCCAAATTGGTGTCACATTTACACGGACGGATCCTCAGATCCGACCTCCAAACACACAGGTTTCGGAGTCCATACCACACAACCAACTAAAACCACACAATCCTTCCGACTCCCAAACAACCAATCAATATTCACGGCAGAACTAATGGGCATGGCCTCAGCCCTCCATAATCAAGAATCCAAAAACCACAAAAAAAATCCTAATACTTACCGACTCCCTAAGTGGACTGCAAGCCCTCCGATCCAAAACAAAAGTACCAAAAACCGACCTAAATTAATAAATCAAATACTTAAAAGCTCCAACTAAGCAACCTAACTAAGGCAGGCAAACAAATAACCTTCTTGTGGATACCCGCCCACGTAGGAATATACGGTAATGAAAACGCCGATAATGCAGCTAAACTTACCCATCTCAAAATCAGAAATTAAAAGTGTAAACAAGCAAAAAATCACACAAAAATGGCATAACCTTTATCTAAACTCAAATAGCCAAATCAAAAAAGTGCTCAGCAAACCACTAACCAAACCAAAAATTCTCCATCCATCAAAAAGAAATCGACAGAGTAATCACTAAACTCCAAACAGGACACACCAACCTAAATAACCACCTAAAAAAATTAAAAAAACACACTACAGGTAACTGCCCACACTGCAAACAACCAGAAACCCCAGAACACGCACTCATCCACTGCACACACTACCTAACACATCGAACCGCATTACAAACCACCCTCAATCTAAACAAGGCTCTCACTCTAAAAGCAATACTAAACCCACAAAATAAACTAGAAAACTGCAAGGCCTTAGGCGTATTCTTAATAAAAACGGAACTAATAAAACGCATCTAAAAACACAATAACCTACCAAATCAAAATCACATAAACAAACAAACATCGACCATACCCAGCTCCCTTAGTTCTCCTCCCCAACCCCATCGGCATCTATTCCAAATCTCAAAATTCCCAAATTCTATATAAGCAACCCCTAAACCCCCCTCTTGGGTTGCACAGACCACTTTCGCCCCTTTCGGAAACACATTAAATGGCCTGGCCGGGCCCGTGTGCGAAATACGCATCAGTCGGAAAGCGCACATTAAATCTCCAAAGTAAGTAAGTAAGTAAGCATAGCATTGATTCACCTGATGAAAGAGTAAGCATATACTCCGAAACGATGGTTCCTAAAAAAGAAGAAGTTGACATCCATAAATTCTCTTATGTTTATCACTTCTAAATGCCTTTCAAAGACTTAAGACATTATATTTATGTAATCACACGACTGCGTGCGGGTATGAGCGTCCAGCAGTATGACGGCTGACAGTAGATAATCGAGTCTGGATCAGACAATCCAGTGATTGATATTTTCACAAACGATCGATGCTGTCGGGGTACAACGATACGCCATCGGTCAAGTCGCCGAATCTGACCACCCGATCCATTAAGTTGCCTCTTACGACCAGCATAGGTTGTTAGTCGACTACGTGATAAACAGTTTGACTCCTTTAGACTCTCAGTATCAGTGGGGGCACGGGTGGCCCAGTCGTCTAAGCCGCCGCGATTCGCTGTGCAGAGTTGCGTCCCTTGGGCACGCCAGAAACCTATGACTGTGGGTTCGAATCCCGGTTCGCCCTGATTATGTTTCTAGGTTTGTCAGCACCATACCCGTGCTCGTTGGTTTCACCGAAGTGGTAAACGTCTGAGACATGCATCACCTCGGGCTTTCCTCCCACATTAAGCTGACACTCCGTGACATAGCTGGCATACTGTTAAAGCGGCGTTAAACTCACTCACTCACTCAGTATCAGTAACTTAAACTCCTTATAAAATGAAGGTTTGCCTAGTTAAATAGGAAATTAATATCTACACCATTGAAGCTGACCCAAACTTCAAGCGTCTTTACATTTAAATTATACCAACGAATGCCTCATGCAAGGAAACGAAAACATATATATTTTATAGTCGTGTTTATTTGATCCAAATACGCACTGACAGACTGGCAAAAACAATGTAAATGAAATTGTAACATAAAATTGTCACCAAAATATACACGATCGCTTTCATCACTTTACATAAAAATATAGTTTCATATATTTACATCTGGCATTACAAGGTAAGCAGAACATTAACAAGAAGAATACGTGTTTAAGACCAACGACATTTGGAGGCATAAACGGCAAAATCTTAGTTGACCGTGCATGACGTATACCACAATGCATTAATTTACGTATGTACACAATGCTCTTGAATAACTGGCACATAAATATCCACATCGACTTCAATAACAATACAGAGGCAACATACACAGACACTGTGTACAGACTGTAAAAGGGCAAATTTTGTGGGGGTAATCAATATTGAACACTTTGATAAATATTGATCATGAAAGGACACAAGGTGTATATAACAACTCTTGTCACCGCATTACGGATATCATAAATATAGGTAAATGAATTTAATAATAAAGCTGAAACTGCATTATATATTATCATTATGACACAATAATAAAGGTTGATATGTCTAGCGGACAAACGTGACTTTGATGTAGTGTTATTAACTATCGAAATAGATATTAATTCTGATGATTAGGAATCAATGGCTTTTAATCTGTTTCGGTGGAAAATCCAGACTGGTTTGTCTCTTGCATTGACAACTTATATTTAAGATCGAACTGTCACCGAGTACTTACACCACCTGATGCCGTTAACCTTGGATCCAGTTAACTCCTGCGGATTGTATCGTGGTGACACCTAAAGTCTTCTTTTCCCTTGGCACTGTTCTATATCGTGGATTTGATTTAAAATAGAACATAAACAATGCGATTTTGAAAACTGTATTTTGCTTACATCCGCATTTATTTTATTTCAATCACACAAAAACTCTTAGTAAACAATTTCAACCACTGAGCCTTGTTCATCAAATTGACCTCAGACGGCGGTAATCCCAATGCTCTAAAATAGTCGTTGCGCTAGGATCAGCAGTAGATTGAAGTAGGGTGGGGTGTCGCCGTGTAATCTATCATGCCAAAGGTACTACATTATGCCAAGCGCGTGGGCAGTCATCAATATGTATGGAATACTAATGCCACATGCATGCACGTAGACACTGGCAGGATTTGGGGGAGGGGAACATCGATTTCATGACATAGCACAATGACGCCGGCTCTTCAATTAGTAAAGGATCAAAAGAAAATACAACTATATCACTGAATCGGAGTTCCATATTTAAGGGCGCTGTGTGGTGAGATAAATCTTAGTATTGCTGCAATCGATTTTCTTGACGCACAAGAACAAACTTGGACTGATTTAAAGTGGAACGTAGCTTCTGAGCAGCCCTCACTATATAAACATACAATGACATTCACATTGCATTAGATCAGTATGAAAATATAACTTAAGACTACATCTGAAAATATATCATGATAAAACGCCAACTCTTCAATACGATTCGGATAAGGCCATAACAATTTGATTATTTGTTCTTCAGATTTTCCCGAAAATAGGAGCTGTATGACGATCTATCTGCTATAATCATACCACATATATTATCTTTCTTGATTTATGAATGTTATGCCATTACACTTATATCTATATAACAATAATTTACTCGTGAAAATATACCAATGGTTTTTTTTAACCTCGGACGGGGAATATTTTCCATCAGATGTAATTTTGCAGATAAATGTGGTGATTTGTACCTTGTTATGACATATTCATGTTAGAAACATTTCTGACTGACCAGAATAACGGTAACAAGAAGCATAAATAAGGGTAACACGAAGTATAAATAACGGTAACAAGAAGCAATAAATCAAATAGTTGTGGCCTGAATTATCCATAATAAACACTATGTTGGAAACACTTGATACATGGAAGAACATCAAAACAAGTTGCATTAAGGTTGCCCTATTCACTAGTACTATTCGTCGTAATTTGTATTTTCGCGATGAGCTGCAGGAGGAAGCATCTATGGAACTCATTTTGCCAGGTGGTTGCAATGTGATATATTACAATTCAAAAGACTGTTATACCTTTTGCCGCAATTTAATCCTCTGATAGCATTCGAAACCTTTGGCGTTGAAGAACCGCCCACGACTGTCTTTGAAACAGTAAACGTTACATGCTGGTGGAAAGCTAAGTAAGAAAACGTATAGAACAAACAACTATTGTTCATTCACAAATCCAACGTAGCTGGTCTTGGTGTGCTACAGTATTCAGATAATAAACACTTAAGGCATTAAGATGAAAGATTATAGGGTATGGAGACAGTTGAGTTGAAGGCATTTGTACAATATTTCAAAAGGTTTCAAAACACCCAAGAAGTGCAGAGTTATGTACAAAGACATAACCTAAAACAAGACCTCTTAACGAATATATGTATAATAATGCATACAGGAATCGTGTAATATACAACTACAGCATCACACACAAGAACCGTACTACTAAGTTCGAGTATCACAGCATCAGTATATGAGATACATGGTTATAGACTAGAAGACCAGAAGACTGCGACAAGAAACCCTAGTTGGCAGTTTGTCCACTAAGTCGTGCTGTCAAGATTGGACCTCCTACTAATGAAGCCAGACAAGGCCCGAAAGTCGGTGATCAGCTGAGGTCAGTCACCGTGGTCACCTAATTCTAGTTCTAGTCACCTGCCAAGTGTGTGTTACTGTAACAAGATTCTACGCTGGAATGTGCTGCATGTCTGGGACATATCTGATTTTTAAGCATGAATTTATCACATGCCTTATATTAACTTTATACGGCTTCTACTTTGACTTGTACAACAAAAGGATGCTGTAAAGTGATACTGTTGTTATATTAATGATGAAAAATATTTGAAATATTTCACCTTTTTAAAAATTAAAATTACGTTATCACCTCTTTACTCCTGTTGACAAAACGTCGTTCTGTATGCAGACAAGCTTTCATGTTCTTTACAACTCATTCTCTAAACAATTGGATATGTATATGCTCGTAATATTAATATCAGGTAATATTTTGTAAATATTGTCACTGATGCGTCAAATGTGGAAATGTCCTCCACATGTCCGCAATAAAACTTGTTAGAACTTCAGACAACTTCTGAGCAATGTATGACGCTCTTTGAAATTTTGAATGATGGTGCAAAATAAAGTTGAAATGTAGACACCAAGGGCTGGAGCTACATGAATATCGACATAATTGGAAAGTTGACTATTGGAAAGTCGAAATCATCTGTCTTGTCATACAGTCCTGTGGAGAGTCACTCTTTATGAATCTTAATGCATAGATTTAAATGAGAAACAGACGAGGCGGTCTCACTGGTCTTCTTATTCTAAGTTCAGCTGAGTAAATCAGAAGGACTACTGGAGGGTAAAAGAACGATATCAGATCATCGATACACAAGAAGCTTGAGTTAAACTTCTTGGCCAAATAACCTTGTTTTGACTTTGCCAACCCGAGCAGAAATTCTGATTCATATTCATAACGAAACGGATCAGCAAGAAGGGAGCGTAAGTGGTGCCCACCAGGATGCCACTTCTTGCCTAAACATCATACCCCGAAATGGTACATAGAAGAAAGCATAACTTGAAACTTGCTTGTGACTTACTCATACCTGTATCACAATACTAATACAAGTTTTAACTACATTGTTAAATACGTTACATCACTTAAATGTCTACACAAACAACTAAGACGCTTCACATGCTTGGAAGCATTTTGTCATCATCAATTATGGAATGGAATAAATTTCACTTCATGAAATATTGTATAGATAGTATATACGTTACACACAATTTTTCGACACATTGCATGGTTTTTCTTGTATGTTGTTTTCTCCAGTGAAAATAGGTTCACTACATCTATGTTAACATATCTTACTCAACGAATATGAAGTTAGAACGTAGTTGATTTGGTTTATATGTGTCTCATACATGACGAGCTGTATGTGGTTACAATTCATTCAGATAATATTCAAACAATACAGGTAAGTATCCGTAAGATGTAGTGTTTCTGGTAGACAAATGGCCATAGACAAACATTACAACTAAACCATTATATTCAGTTTACAAAATGTACAATGTTTACAATAGTTTTATGTACAAACAAATGACATCGTATGAGGTCCAAGCCATGTTCTGCTATTCAGGATACAAATGGTACGTATATTGATCTGTATCAATAACGTACAAGTGTTATTTCACTCAGCAGTCAAACAGAGACCTGACTTATCCGTAGCTCGTGGAGGGGCTAGTTAACGCCTAAGCACATATAAAGGCATGTGCAAAATACAGCAAGGACCCGGAAAGCATACTTTTCTCTGCTGTCACTTTACTTTCCCAACCTTGCTTAAAAGGTGGTCCGGATGGATCGTATTGTCTCATCTCTCAGTATATAATTTATATAATATAAATACCAAAATAGAAATTTCACACAGGAATGGTTGCTGTTGATAAACAATAATTCGAGTTTGAACATTGGTCATTGTCACTGTTCAATCCGTTCACAATGTCTAGCACCTGTGCCTAAAAGCCACTCGAGTCCATTTTAGTTGGCACCAAGTGACAGTTACATTAAAACAATCCATGTATCGATTCCATCTTCAGGCAGTAACTGTGGCTTGTATTGCCCCATGCGAAAAATGGTCTCAAATTCTGCTCAAATCTTATAAGGTCATTACAAATACCAACTTGAAACGCAAACGATTTCCAATGTGTTTGTAGTTTTGTAGGTATTCTTCAGTACACCGACTGCATATGTCGCGCATTCCCTGGAGCCACGTTTGAACAGCAATCAGTGTTAGCAGTGAACAATTATACGACTTCACAAGGACTTGGTAGTTACTTCCTAAGGTTATGCCACATGGCATTTGACTTTCTCTGATTATGGAGCATTTCATTCCAGTGATTGCCTTCCTTCCCGGGCCTCTCCGGGCCCAGCATACACCGGCCAATGATTTCCCCGTGTCCAATCAGATCATGGTCCATAACACAACACTCCAGGCCCACCTTTGGCAGCACATCCGCCGGAACGTTGAAAGTAAGGGCCTCGTTCCAGACTGGATTTGTTGAACTACGTATAACAGAAGTCTTCTTTCTCTTGATCTTCTTTCCTTCAACAAGGAGAGTCAACCGGACATAGGGATCTGGAAGAGATTTGTGCAAACTCGTTATCAAGGTTCTCTCATATCCGTTTTTATTTTTAGATGTTTTGTATGAAGTATCCTATCTGCAAATGTTACAACCTTCGGACTTTCAGTTATTGACGGCGAGGGAATTTCAAAACAAACAATCTACTGGTCGATAACCATGCGCATGTTAAAAATAAAACGCCAACGCCAAAGAATGGCAGTCACGAATGTCCACCGAAACAGATTCCACTTGGTGTAAAATGCAAAATGGCGGTTGAATAATATGAATTGGTCATTGAAATCAGTGATTACACCAAGTGTTCGCGAAAAGGATCAGGATGTCCTGCCCTACTTGTAGCACCGCCACTCGCCATTGTGCCTACAATGTAAGCAGCAAATATTCTGGTCGTATCCATAATATGAACATCCTCTGTATAATGTATTGCCTCTTGAGTTTCACATACAGAAACCGCTTTCCAATATATCAATTGCAATAGGATTTCATTGCGCGACGAATGGCAGAACTCACTAAGCCTACCTGCAGAGGGTGGGTTGTTGGAGACGGTCAGTTCCTTTGCCTTCATTATAACCACTGTGAGTCGTTCGGCTGTTGGGAGATAACTCAGTGACACCAGCAGCTCACCCAGTATACCAGAGGCCTAGAAGGAAGCACTATGTTTAAAGGGAGGCAGTGATTTCACGGTTTTGACCTTATTTTCAGTCCAGGTTAAGACATTGTAAATAGTAAATTGTAAATCTGTGCCACTTAGACATAATCTCTGGGTTAAATGGGTAATCATTAACTGCCAGATTAATATATTATAAATTTGGCGTAAGCAGATAGCGAAGTGATGTTTGAACGACTTGCTAGTTCTGCCAATTTGCCGTAGCCAAGTGCCCCTTTACTGGCTCTTAGAACAGTTGTAGTAATGAAGAACATCATATAATAGATTTAATGGGTTTTTTTTAGAACAATCTTTCGTCAATCTAGCTTCATTAATATGACATCAAGACAATACGTTTATTTTCAGACATTCATACATTTAAAGACAGAATTGTAATCTTAGCTTCACATCAAAGAACCGTCTTCCCTTTGTAGGAAAAAGAAACCTCTCTCAGACTATAGCTTAAGTGAGCATATCGTGATCATGATGTGTAAAGAGATTGTTGTTCACGTTGACGAACCCTGAAGGTCATCATCACAGCTACTGGGTCTCACCTTTTGATGTTTCTGAATGTCACACCACATCTCGACACTATTGCTGATTTCAACCTTCCCTAGGTCAACCTGGACTTCGCCTATGACGTTATGTCGAGAGAACTTGTCATAATCATATATATGGAACACCAACAGCTTGTCCTTCACTTCGTCAAAGGCAACAGGGAACTTGAAGCGTTCGTTATAGTAGGGGTTAGAGGTCTTCCTCTTGACGGATGACTGTCGGATACGCTCATCAACACTCGGCACTAATGCAATACGTATGTAGGGATCACTAAATCCTCCTAGAAGTTCGGAAAGCGGCAGGTCTTGGGCTGGAGCACAAAGTTGTAATCAGTTAATCACGGAGAAAGGCAAAGAAAATGCATGGCGTTTGATAAGGATCCCTTTGGCTCACTAGAGCTGCATAATTAAAAATATGATGCCACAAAGCCAACCGACCAATCTTGCATGTATGGGATTATGGGAAAGCAACGCATGGAGGATAGACACAATAATCGAAAATCGAACAGCCTGATCTTACAGGTCCAACTGGCTTTGCACTATTATGAAACAATCCATTTTGTCTTATACATGTAAATCATCCTTTCCAAAATAAGTTTTATTTCATGCAAGGAGGTATATGAACTCATCCTTCTTTCCTCATGTTTAATCGTAAAGCTTGTCATGGGAATTCATTAGCAATGCAAAATATTCTGTAATTCTGTTTAACCAACGTTCAAGTTCAACTTGTCGTCGTCCAGATGAAGAAATTCAGGTAAATCGAGCGGGAGTCCTGAATCTAATATTGTACGTGAGATCATTTATGTTGCTTAATGCCGTGTTTAAACCATTTCAGCTTTGTAATATGGCTTTAGACATTATCAATATTGACCATTTTAGTTCGATATCGCGGTTGACACTTGTTTACATATAGCCTGCCTACAAATTCAATTTGAAGAAAGCATCAATATATGGTCCAGCCATCCTGAACACAACATGCGTCAGTCAAGAGTTCTAGATGTTATGGATCAGTGACAGATGCAGTCTCGGTCCAATATAGACTCCAGTCCCAAAGAACCTGAGACGTTTTATCACATGATACCATACATGCAGCACGGACACAATACCCTTAAAGATCCATTACGTATCCAGACAGCACATGTGGGTGAGCATGGCTTCTTTATTCTTTTCCTAGGCTGGAAACAATTTCACGAGCTGCTCACAATGAGATCAAAAGCACTGTCCCAAAAGACTCACTTTTTGTAAATTTGTGTTAATGCGATTGAGTCTAGACTTATTGATTACTATTTACTTACAGAAACAGTGTGTCTGCAACATTGGCTGACCAATAAAATTTGTTTCATGTCACTGCAGACTTCACCAACAAACTCTATCCGCAGTTAACTTCAAACCACTGACGTTCGGTATGAGCGCGTGCGTGCGTTGGGTTTAACGCTGCTTTGAACATTATTCCGTTTATATAACGGCGTGTCAGCTTAATGTGGGAGGAAAGCATAACGTGGTGCAGGTCTCAGGCATTAACCACGTTACCAACGAGCACGGATATGGAGCTGACAAACCTAGAAACATAATCGGGGCGAACTGGGATTCAAACCCACGACCATAGGTTCCTGGCGTGTCCAAGGGACGCAACTATACACAGCCAATTTGCGGCGCGTTAGACGACTGGACTCTCCGTGCACCCCGCTCAGTGTGAACACATGTGTACATTTATGCTACAATGCTATGTTGTGTACATTATATGCTCTCCTTGTAGTAGTAGTAGTAGTAGCATCTGACCATTATTATTGACAATAACTGAAATGATTCGTTAATGTTTGCACAGCCAACTATACACAGCCAATTTGCGGCGCGTTAGACGACTGGACTCTCCGTGCACCCCGCTCAGTGTGAACACATGTGTACATTTATGCTACAATGCTATGTTGTGTACATTATATGCTCTCCTTGTAGTAGTAGTAGTAGTAGCATCTGACCATTATTATTGACAATAACTGAAATGATTCGTTAATGTTTGCAGCGGGGAGGGTGGGTTTGGTCATGGATGTGGGTGAAGACGTGGACGTGGACGTGGACGTGGACTTGGGCGGGGGCGGGGGCGGGGGCGTGGGTGGGGGTGTGGGTGTAGGTGTACATGTAGGTGTGGGTGTGGTCGTGTGTGTGTGTGGGGGGGGGGGGGGGGGGGGCGTGGGTGTGGTTGTAGTGGTGGTTGCTGGTGATTATGATGGAAAGGTTTAAGGGCAAAGTGGACCCTCGGAAGGTGATACACATGAAATATAATAATATGGTCTCCTTCGTAGTGAAGTATGAACAAGATCGCATTTACATTCCAGACAAAAGTAGAAGATGCAATCAAACATATTGCTTAACGAGGAGTACACCAGGAAGAATGGAAACTGTGTAATTCAGACAAACCAAAATAGTCCCATTTGATGAGCTATCTTCACCATTCTACATTAGGTCCTCACTAAAGGTTAAACAGCTTTTATCCAACAGGTCAAGTTGACTGATGCCGACATTTTACTTTGTCAGAAACCCAGGTGGTAATCAAGTGTAGTTCGCAAACTGTTTTTTATAGTTTTATTGTCCGTCCATTAATATGTTTATATGTAACAAAACTAACAAACCATTATCAAAATGACCAAAAAATGTAAAGAAAGAAACATGAATTGATTACACAAATGTCAGGATCAAGGTCTTAACAAAATAACTCCTAATTATGTTCTTGAGGGTGGTGCCGTTACAAATGACAGCTGAATTAGTAACACGTTACTTCGCACGACATTATCACTAAGACTCGCCTGACCTTCGATCATGTGCACGACCAGATCCGACGTTCTGAAGTCGTAATTGAGCCTTGTGTGAAGACGACCGTGCCCGCCATCCAGGGAAGACTGCTGAAGAACAACGTCTCGACGAGGGTACAGATCTGGACGAATAGCACCTGTAATAGGAGTGAGTGAGTGAGTGAGTGAGTGAGTGAGTGAGTGAGTGAGTGAGTGAGATCAACGCCTTTTCTGAACAGTATGCACCAGTTGAAGGCAAAGCCAAGCCCAGTCATTTCGAAAACGTTTACAATTTGTTAAATCTACGAAAAGATATGGTACTGCAAGTCATAATATTCGGGAAAATTCTGGGATTCGAACCTACAACTAACGAATCTCAGGATCAGGAAGCAACTCTAAACATCGACTTGCTGCACCTTAGACAACAGGGCTGCAGCGTCCGTGGTACATAAAGGAAAGGGTAAGGCGTGAGAGTTGAAAACCCTATTACAACATACACATCGTTGACCCTGACTATAATACTATGACATGTAATATGGCTCTGTGTTTTAAGAATACAGAGTACATATTTGTGCTGTTATGAAATGCTAAAGCCAAGTACCCATGGATGTGCTTGCAGCCTTAGCCCCACTAGGGTCCTTGAACACATATTTCACCGACATTTGTAGAGGTTATAAGAATCGAGCAACATCGATACCTTGGATACAGAATAAACATCCGAGACCAATCTGAAACGCATGTTATCAGTGGCTGATAACTCATGACCATCAATGACTTTAAGGATCTCTTATGGGTCCTTGCCGTCATGAATTTATAGGAGTACTACATTCTCAGTAACCATGAATGCAATCTGTGACCGATTAAACCATTTCACCACCCACTCATTCACAGCCAGGTGTGCGAAGTCAGTTACATGCTGTCACTGAACTACATGCGATAGGCTTCGTAGAATATTAAACCAGTATGTCATCGTCAACGGATTTCTCTTACCAAAGTTGGCTTCAAACACCAGACTGTCAACACTAGCGTCGCTCTTAGCACTGAGACTGCTGGTGTCGTCGGTGAATTGCTCACTGCGCAGACTCCCACGTGACGTAGTAGACATGGATGCAGAACGAGGCTGTACCGGCCGATTCTCTTTGGTGATAGAAATTTCCTGAATAATTGAATGCATTATGATTAGTAAGGTGCATTATTTACATTATCATAATTATATGGAACCAGTGTCAAACGATGCATTTTGTATTCGGATACTTGAGAAGTGAGTGAGTTTGGTTTTACACCATGTGTCAACTTGATGTAGGAGGAAAACCGAAGTTATGCAAGTCTTAGAAGTTGAACTTTTTGGTGAAGCCCAGAAGGACAGATATGGTGCTGATAAACCTGGAATCAAAATCAGATAGAATTTTGGGTTCGAACCAAGACACACTTAAGGGACGCATCTCTCCATAGCCAATTAAAGCACCTTATACCATGGAACTTGAAGGCCTTACAAACGTGTGCCATATCCCAGTACGTATTTAAGTCTGTATATGACTGTGAACATGGACCCATTTTGCAATTTGTTTGTTTGTTTGTTTGTTTTAGTTTGATGCTTAACGCCGTAAAGCAATATTCAGCTGTATGACGAAGGCCTTTATGCCTGTGCCCGAGTCTCATACCTACCAGTGATCGATATAATGAACAACGTCCCCGAGCCTTTCACACAGTAACACATCTATCGGGATTCGAACCCGGTCGGATTTATCATGGAGGATATTAAACTGAAAATTCAAATACCGCTTCAAATTCACAAACTCTAAACCCGACAGGAAAATATACAGTGGCGAATCAGGTTTTACAGCTAACGTCAGTCATGACTGCGTGTGTCACGACACTTTTCTGTCCCGTTTTCGTGATCTCGACAGTCGGTAAATTCACCGTGATTACCTGGAAATCTCACATCTGAAAATACGCACATGGAGTTTGATAAGATGTGTCAAGTTCGCCACAATAATGATTCTCCTATGGCTTGTTGTCAGTAAGTCAAGGCTTATAATTTAGGGATTAATCCTGTCGTGTAATGGAAAAATTCCCGTGTTTTGGGTGTAGATCACATGATTATGGCTGGCAGCGGAGGGCGTGGACCAAGGCCTAGGGGATATTCACGACACTGCCGACGGAAGCGGTAATGAAACATATCGCGATATCCTTGACAACCATCCATGGGTCGATTTAGCCCGACATTTTGCCATCAGTTCATACCGATTGAAGGAGGATAATGCCCCTGCTTATCACTCCCACAGAGTATTTGAAGCAAAGCATCAAAACATACACGAGGTGTGCATGTCAGCGGATATATCCTTTATTATTGCCTGAAAATACAAGTACCTGCTGCGTTTATACGTTTAGGTTGTTTAGCATGACATCGGGCATATCTTCCTATAACAACAACATAGATGGAACAGGCATAATTGCCTCACATTGTATACACGATACACTGTTATTCATTAGGGCAGATTTAGGCTTACAAAATCATATAAATCATTTACATATTTCTCATTAACTCGAGGACGTTTTCGCGACAACCGCCATCAACATTGATTCCATTGAAACCACTTACGGTATTGAATTGCAGTGGATACAATTTCATCCCTGCGTTCAAGCAATAACAACAACATCAGGTGTGCGTGTTGTTTATGTGGGAAGAAAATGTTATGACCAGTTGAACGGTTTTGCATTTACCTTCGTTCAGTGCTACATTGTCATATCATTTTTTCTGGATAACATGTAACTAGCTGTCTGTATGCTGGGTGACACGACCATCTATTTTGGACATTGTATGTGCTATTCGTACTATGTCATGGAAATGACACGACTTATTTAGTCTGATGTTTTCGCTTTCGTATCCTTGTCACATAGGGAGGCTTACGATGATAATGGACGTGACAACTTGTTTGTCTGTTTTTGTTTGTTGTTAAACGCCACACTCAGCAATATTCCAGCTATATGACGGCGCTCTGTATATAACGGAGTATTAGCATGACAATCCAGTGATTAATATCAAGAACATCAATCTCCGCAATTAGGATACGATGACATGCATCAAGCAAGTCAGCGAGCCTGACCAACCGATCCCATTAGTCGCCTCTTACGACAGGCATAGTTGCCTTATACGGCAAGCATGGGTTGCTGAAGATCTGTTCTAACCTACATGGAAGGGTATGAAGTCTATATAACCAATAGCAGCAATAAAGTATAATGAATGGTAGAAAAATTATTTACGAATACAATACAATGTAACTAAAATAGTGGATAATAGATGCGAATAATATTCAATACGGTGTAACTGATAATATTCGATTGTTGTTGAACCCATCAATATGGGATGAAGAATCGCGTCTGGTTCGGACAATCTAGTGATTGACGTAAAGAGTATCGATGATACGATGGGATACGATGACCACCTTTTACACCAAGCTTGGGTTGCTGAACACCAGTTCTAGCCTTGGTCATCACTGGGTAACTGATACTGGATACTAGTATTGAATAGAGTGTGATGGATAGTTGGTAATGGGTGCAGTATTGAATAAAGTGTAATTGATAGTGGATAATACGTGAGAATTGTATTGAAGGCGGTGAAGTGTGCTCCAGGCCTTGCTGATATGTTTCTTCGTGCATATGAGACGGAATTTCTACTCGGATTGGCAAAGTCAAAACTTATAATTGTGCCAAGAACTTTAAGTTAAGCCTCAGGTCTATCGATTATCTGATATTGCTCAAGAATGTTCAAATAGCACATTTACCCACCTGAACGAGCAATAAAAGAGACCGCCTCATCTGTTTCATGCTTAGATCTATGTATACAGATTCCGAGTGACAACAACTCATACAACTTTCTAATTGTCAACTTGTCCTTTGTGTCGAGCAGTATTCCAGCAGCTCTAAGCCTCTGGTGTCTATGTGGCCGATGTAGTTTTTGTATATATTTGTTTTAATTTCATTTTAGGTTTTTACGTATATTTATCATATATAACTAGTTGTCCGTTTCAGTCAGCTATAACAAAGTGTATCTGACCTGTCTTACCTACTAACTGCCCCATGGCCAGAAGCTTCATTTGCTGATTGGCCAAGCTAACACCTATTGTTAAACTGCATGCTTTGATTACACTGCATACTCTCTCAGCACATAAACTGACAGAACTGCTCAGACCAGCAAAGTGTAAAGAGACAATATTAAATCAGATAATCTATGGTGTTGCCATACGTGTGGCAGTTGGGATCCACACCCTTGTATCACCCACAGGGTATGCATTGTGTTATTTATAATTGTGATGACCACATTTAATGTAAGATCATATCATTAAGCGTTATGCATTTATATTATGTATATATATTTTGTATATATTATAGTCAAATGAAAGTCAAGGAGTTATCTCCCTTGAATGTCGGTATTGTTGATCATGTACATCTTGTGTTTAATGGATGACTAATATATGTAAATACTTACTTGTAATAAGCCTATGCTATGTATCTAGCATTAATGATAATGTTTTACTTAGTATTTATTGTGTTATTATGTGTTTCAGGGTGTATGATATATAGATCCTTGATCACACTCAACGCATCGCAATAAAGACCTCAACCCCGTAGCATGTGTTTGTTCGCTCTAAAAAGACCTTCACTAAACTGCTACAACTGTTGAGGTACAATCGAGCATGCTCTTTCTACGAACATTTCAAAGAGCTCAGAAGCTGTGTGATCAAGGTTACAACATTCAAGGCCTCAGCTGATGGCGGTCGGTAAATAATCGTGTCTGGATCAGACAAATCAATGATTAACACCATGGGCATCTGGATCAACTCACACTGGATATAAGTTCGGAGAATGTGAAGACTCTCCAAACACTGCAGCCTTCTGCATTACCCAGATTGTCAGAAGGGCTGTATTCCTGGTAGCAAACAAGGATACTCTCCCAAATAACAGTCAACAGTTTGGAAGGTACCAAACCTAAGGCACCGAGAACAATCGGTAGTCGGACAACTTGGCACTTGGGATGCAAGGGTGACATTTCGAAAGCGAAGTCCGCATATTTGCCATGATTTTCATGATTTTAGTGACAAAAGTGACAGACAATTCAATGATTTCATTAGATTTATCAAAAGGACTAGATCAGGCTGTATCGCTGCGTATTCCCAAACAATTTGTATTATCACTTTCAATGACGCCCTCTTCATATTCTAGGTCGTACCATGGATGGACCTCTGTGTCAAAACCACAAGCATGTCGCTTAAGATACTGTGTTTGTGCCAAAGTTGGGCATCCACTGATCTTGTGTTGGACAGTCTCGTTAAATGTATTGCATACATTCCATTGCATTCTACATTTCATTTTTACATTTTGATGCAAAATCACACATTGACGGTTTCGAGTGGGAAGTGACTGGTCTCGATCAGCAAACAGAAAGCCTTAGAGAGAAGTGTTTCACTTTTCAGGCCAGTCGACTTCATCCAAGCGAAGGACTCCTGGTTGCGTCTCACAGTAACTGAATAAAAATATGTTCCTTCCAGCCCTTTCTGTAATGCAAAAGCTGAATGAAGCAAGTCTTGATTTTCCTCGGGTTTTGAATCTCCCATCTCACAAGGGAACCTTTTCAATTTAAATGGAGTTATTTAGTTCAAAATTATATATTTTCAGATATTAATTCGGTAGTCTAGTTGCGTACGAATATAGGCAAATGCGGATTGACGTGTAGTAGATAATATACTTGCGAATAGTATTTAATCATTTTTTACTACCATTGACAACAATAAATATTTCTTTGCAAATTTTCTATTTGAATATTACGTTTCACTGTATCGCTTTGTCGGTCCTATATTGGAGATGTAACGTTCAATAAACTGCAGGGCAAATGAAATTGTAGACATGAAAATTGGATTAGACCAAAAATTAAAAACGTTATCAAGACGTTACTAGGCTTAAACAGTCGCTGAAACACTGCAAACGCAATCGAGGGGGCACGGCCATCGAGGGGGAACGGCCATCGAGGGGGCCCAGTCGTCTATGGCGCCGCGATTCGCTGTGCAGAGTTGCGTCCCTTGGTCACGCCAGAAACCTATGATTGTGGGTTCGAATCCCGGTTCGCCCCGAATATGTTTCTAGGTTTGTCAGCACCATACCCGTGCTCGTGGGTTTCACCGAAGTGGTAAACGTCTGAGACCTGCATCTCTTTGGGCTTTCCTCCCACATTAAGCTGACACGCCGTGATATAACTGGAATACTGTTAAAAGCGGCGTTAAACTCATCTCACATACTCACTCACTCAAACTGCCATCGAATAACCATTTCGTGTTTCATTTTTAGCCACCATCAAACATGGAAGTGTACTTTCCTTAGCCCGGCAGCTTATTAACCCTCTTACTTAACACTCTTCTCAATCTAAACTGTTATTGATGCTATTTTGACTTCCAAGTCACACTGAAGTCGGGGATAGCTATTGCTGTTTCAGATTAATGGTGATTAGGACGATAACCCTAAAATAACCAGTATTCAGAAAAAGCCTCTTTCGCTCGCCACAACGCAATAAGGCTGAAACTGAAGCTATTCTTCACGCTCACAATGACAAAACAGATTATCCTATTGTGCTGCTCTGGATCTCGTCCCTTGTGCAGAGACAGCCAATTTCCTTGAAGATGTCGTCTCGAATCCAAACATCGCTAACAATACAGAACAGAAAGGTTATACCCAGGAAGTTTCCAGGAAGTTACCAGGCGGTCTGCCGCCTATCACGTGACCTTTACCGACGTGCCAGTGATGTAATTGATACAAACAGGAGATCGCTTCTTGATTGCATCTGAATCAAATTCATTGTACATGAACGCGAAAAAATATCAACTTTGTTTTGCGCGACCAGATTGCATCACATGTTGCTTGATCTGAATAAGACTGTGAGTAGAACAATCGATGTTCACCAGGAAATTAAACCTCGCATCATCTTTACCGTCTTTCCTGTCCATTCAAATTCATTTTAAACGGCTCATCAGCAAAAGACCTCCTCTCTTTCTTCTAAAGAATACCATTGTCAGTTTTTTTTATAGGTGACGCGACTTCACATAGAAATGTTGTTTAAATCTTGAAAAGCAGTTTGAAATCATACAGTGAGCGAATGTTGTTTTACACCGTAGTCAGCAATATATCAGACGTGACACGGCGCTTGTTATATTCTTTTCTTGCAGGCGAACCAATGGTTGTTAGCATGAGCAACGGTCCATTACGTTGGGGTACGATGGCAGGTAGTAAATATAAAACGTGAACGCCAGCCTCGAGTATCCGACGAAACAGATTCTGTTTGGCCTAAAAGGCAACTTAGCGTTGATAAAGTTTCTGAATGGCTTACTGAAGATCAGTGATGACACCAGGTGTTCGCAAATAAGATAAGTATGACAAATATGTCATTTTGCATGTAATGCAGGAACGTCGTAACGGTATATATTTACTTCAATAGATCCATACGGTATGCAATCCTCCATGGACCTCTGCTTTTAATTGTTAAAAATATTGCTATTTGCGTCTATACAAAATTGACACGCGTACGTTTTGTACATAGGGAGGCAGCTGGAAATAGCACCCCTAAGCTGAGCATAGAATATTTAGAAGTCCATCTTGAGCCCGCGATGCGATATTTTTCAGAATAAAATACCTTGTCAATGTTCATTAGGGTTAGAAATTGACAGCTGGTAGGACAGACCGCTCAGGATAACCATATTACACCGCCCACGCAACAGTAAATCTGCCTTGCAAAGTCCCCGTGTGCTGAAACGCCGTCTTACCCACAGATGTTCTTGAACATGAAATGCCATGCACTTGATGATATTTATGGTTGTTGATATGGTAATACCGTTAATTTGCTGCCCCTTTTATTCGGATTTAGTTCTCAGTGGAATTGCCTGTTAGAGTTGGTCGTAAGAGCCCACTCCAACAGGTCTTGATCCGTTCCACAGTTTGACCTTGGTGATTGTGTGTCATTGTACCATCATAGTTGGATTGCTGAACATGGTGCAGCTACTAGCTTGTCGAGTCCAGACTTGATTATTTTCATAATTAATGCCTCTAATATTTCTGGTAAGCGTTAAAAAAAGACCACTCATGTGAGGTTAGAATTTATATGTGAGTGAAATGACATTTTAGATGTTTGGTCGACTGAAATGTCACGGGCAGCAACAGTAATGTTGTATGAATAACTCCCAAAGATAGAAGAAACGACACAGCAATCAGCGCCTAAACCAGTGACAGATGACGCAAAAAGGATACTGACTGCCGTAAAAGGTTACAAATTGCCTTAAGACGTTACAAAGGCTGATTTTACAGTCAAAAGTTTAAATTGAGTCGTACAAAATCCAATTTTGCTCTTCGAAGAGTACAACGACCACCATAAAATGAGAGATGAGCTGGGTGAGAATAAACATACGAAATGTCTCACTGGTTCGGTGTTGCTATAAATATATTTATTAGTAGCTCTATATTTAGGGATGCTGAGGCCTTACACGGTTGTGACTGACAGCAGAGCAGATAATCGGATTATGCGGCGAGTACAAATAAAGCAATGTGGCAGTGTGGTGACTCCGTGGCTTCTTTAACATGAAACATCATGAAGTTGTATCTGAACGAGTGCAAACGCAAACAACACATGAACTGCCGTGGAGAATAGATCGACATGCCATTAGGCCTTGAATACACTATACGTGTTCAATAAAGAGATTGATGACCCCAAATATCTGTTTTATGGACATCTCCGTGTAGTTGTTCTCATTATTGTAATCATTGCAATCGATGTAATGACAGTAAATGGAGAATAAGTACGAACTGGTGTATCTCGAAGCCAGGTTATTGTCATAATCGTGTTACGGTGCAGATTATCTTACAATTTTGCGTCGTTTTTGCTTATTGACATTCTCAATGTTCCTTCATACCTAGTTGTAGAGATTGTTGCTGTCTGTTTGTTATTTGTTTGTTATTCAACGCCGCACTTAACCAGTCTGAACCAGACAATACAGTGATTGACAACATGAGCATCAATCTTCGCAATTATAACATGACATGCAAGTTCAGAGAGACTGACCACCCGATCCTGGTAGTCACCTCTTACGACAAGCATAGTCGCCTTTTAGGACGAGAATGAGTTGCTGAAGACCTATTCTACCCCGGATCTTCATGGGTCTTTGCTGTCAACTAGTGTGTTTTAAAATTCTCATCGTCAGCTAATTTCGGCTCTCCTTTTAATACTATTAATTAAATCAATTATTGTTTCGTCCTTGGTGGTGACACAAAGAAAGCTGTTGCAAAATTTTAATAAATATTACCTCTGGAAAGCGATACAGAATCCAAATGTGAATCGATTTGTTATGGTTTGGGTGTCACGAAGCGCTTCACACGTAAATTCACGGTACATCGATACGTCAGTCGCACATGTTCACATATCCTTCCTTCAACATGGTCAACGTTGTTGGCGCAAACTACTGTACGCCTATCTAAAATTGTAGCACTGATGTTTATTTTTGCAAACGGGACTGAAGACAGGAGTGCGTGAGCATTGTCGTTAGCAGCTTTAACCAATATAGCATGGCGGGGGAACCAATGGTTTACCTGCCCCAGATTCGATTATTTAGAGGCCGCCATGATGTTTTTAGGTGAACAGTAGGCTTGGCTTTGTCTGTGTTTGTAACAGATGTGACGGGGCAGGATAAGCTCAGCATATAATAACAATAACAACAACAACAATAATAATGATGATGATGATGATGATGATGATGATGATGATAATAAGACATGGGCCCTGATATGATGACGAGCCTAACAAGCCTGACTGTGCCAGGATCCCCCAAACCCTCTTTACTGCATTTTTTAAATGTAATCTTTAAAAAATAATATGGACAATCATGATTCCTACCTGAGACCCTGACGTTAAAGACAACAAAGATGGCGGCTTGCACTCCCCGACAGCCTCGTATCCGCTGTGGCTTGTAATACAAGACGTTGCTCTGTGCCGTTTACGATAAAGTATGTACACGATGATGATGACGACAGCAACAGCTACCACAGAGACTCCACACACCGCACCAAGAAGCAGCGGGGAAACCATGGCAACTCGCACACCAAAATCTGAAGCAGAGATTAAATGAGTTAGAGACTTTAAAACAAAAAATTCACGTAGAGAAAGTATATCCTATGTATTTATAAGTTTGAAATATATTAGTACTGAATGAGTTAAAGAATTTGCCGCATGTTTCTTGTTCACATGTAAATCTGAAAAAAAGTCATCCTTGGAAAAATTAAGTGAGAAAGGTCTCATTCTTATTCACACCAAAGTCATTCAATCAGTTAAATAATATCGGTATTTTAACAGTGACAGTTGACAGTTTATATTAAAATATATTTTGTTGCATACATTTCTCATTCTTATTGTCGCCAAATAGTCCATAGAAAAGATAAATTTACCGAATTGGCGATTATGTTTATGTGACTGGAAAGACAAATGCGTATGCAAATTATCATTATATAATAACTTATTATTAATAATCATCATTCTGATCAAATGTATCATATAATGTATCACCGAATAGTTTCTATTGGAGTGTTTGCACTCTCTCCTTGCGCATGCTTCGCCATTCCCCATTTACTGACACACAACAACTGTAAAACAAGGTTTAGTTCAATAATAACTTGATCCCTTGTTGGAAAATCACTTCAGGGTAAAATCTTGGTGACGTTAACCGACTTTCCTGCATGATCTGAAAAATATAAAACACCTAAACCTTGTATAAATACACAGCATGCCATGTAAACAAAGTTCTATGCCTAATATTTGTCCAGGAGAACTGTGACACAACTGCGCATGCGTACGTTATCAATACACTATCTCCATGGGTAAGATCCAGCTATAGAATCTATCAGCAACAATGCCTGGTTCACCCGACTGTAGCCCACTCGCGTAATTAGTCTTGCCACTTACTGTTATTTGAATCAATCTCAGCCTCTTATCGACCATAATTTGTGAGAATGTAAAGCGCGACATTTCCGATATAGCTGTTTCTCACAGCATCAGCATTAACCTGCAATGAATTAGTGTAAAAATAACAGCTCCGCCTGTCTCCCTCATCACTGCAACAATAGCTGCAATATTTACAAGACCGGCCTTTTGCATCAACTATAGTTGGAATTGTTTGTTCTAAAAAATCACAACTCACCGACACTGAACACTTTCGAGGAGCAAATATAGAACAATCGATATTGATGATTGATTATTATATTGGCCGTCCTTTGGTGGACTCCCGTGCAGAGCCTCGCGGCAAAGCGGGGGTGTAAATGACCTGGGATTCGTTTGACTCGGCCTCCTGCAGAAGCTATTATTGTTATCGCAATTGTTTGCCATTCGCCGAATCTCCCTTCACCTGCCACGTTTCTGGGTGATTTCAAAGAGATAACGCGTTGCCAAAAATACACGCTAACAGAAGGGGATACTCGCCGCTAATCCGACAGCTTCCTCCCATAGTAATAAGAGTGTCAGAACCATGATGTACCAAATATAGCCCAATGATTGGTATTCACAGCAGGGTGTGCAAGCTCCACTGTGTCAGGAAGGAACATGCCCCAGTCTGTCACAGGGCGTCGAGCTCGTTAAGGAGCAGAACAATCTGGTCTGGCTGCAGACATATTTTTGTTAATGTGCCATCCCATCTGCTTCGAATATGGGATGAGTTCGCAGGGAAATATTTCCAAAATGTGAATTATTCTGGGTAGGATTGTAAAAATGTTTAAAAAAGAGTTACTTTTTCTGGCTCCTTCAATTGATATTAAGAAACTCCTAGCCTGTGTTTGATATTCGGCACCTCGTGCAGTTCTTCATAATCTATGATTTGGCTAAAAAGATAATGATAGATCCAATAAAATACTATATTTGGCCAATGCCTTTATAAGTTCAAACAATTGTTATGGTCTGCGAATGTCGAGGAACTTAAGTAGGATTCCTGACATCTTGATATTGAATACCAGTGTAAACCTCCCTTTCATGCACCTCTCAGTAGGTACCAATGTTAAAACACTTTTATGCACCTCTCAGTGAGTACCAGTGTTAACCTCCCTTTCATGCACCTCTCAGTGAGTACCAGTGTTAACCTCCCTTCCATGCACCTCTCACTGAGTACCAGTGTTAACCTCACTTTCATGCACCTCTCACTGAGTACCAGTGTTAACCTCACTTTCATGCACCTCTCACTGAGTACCAGTGTTAACCTCCCTTTCATGCTCCTCTCACTGAGTACCAGTGTTAACCCCCCTTTCATGCACCTCTCACTGAGTACCAGTGTTAACCCCCCTTTCATGCACCCCTCTCTGAGTACCAGTGTTAACCAACCTTTCATGCACCTCGCACTGAGTACCAGCGTTAACCTCCCTTACATGCACCTCTCACCGAGTACCAGTGGTGACAACACTTTCATGCACCTCTCACTGAGTACCAGTGTTAACCACACTATTATACATCCCTCACTGAGTACCAGTGTTAACCACACTATCATACATCCCTCACTGAGTACCAGTGTTAACCACACTATTATACATCCCTCACTGAGTACCAGTGTTAACCACACTATTATACATCCCTCACTGAGTATCAGTGTTAACCACACTATTATACATCCCTCACTGAGTATCAGTGTTAACCACACTATTATACATCCCTCACTGAGTATCAGTGTTAACCACACTATTATACATCCCTCACTGAGTACCAGTGTTAACCTCACTATTATACATCCCTCACTGAGTATCAGTGTTAACCACACTATTATACATCCCTCACTGAGTATCAGTGTTAACCACACTATTATACATCCCCCACTGAGTACCAGTGTTAACCACACTATTATACATCCCTCACTGAGTACCAGTGTTAACCACACTATTATACATCCCTCACTGAGTACCAGTGTTAACCAACCTTTCATGCACCTCGCACTGAGTACCAGCGTTAACCTCCCTTACATGCACCTCTCACCGAGTACCAGTGGTGACAACACTTTCATGCACCTCTCACTGAGTACCAGTGTTAACCTCACTTTCATGCACCTCTCACTGAGTACCAGTGTTAACCTCCCTTTCATGCTCCTCTCACTGAGTACCAGTGTTAACCCCCCTTTCATGCACCTCTCACTGAGTACCAGTGTTAACCCCCCTTTCATGCACCCCTCTCTGAGTACCAGTGTTAACCAACCTTTCATGCACCTCGCACTGAGTACCAGCGTTAACCTCCCTTACATGCACCTCTCACCGAGTACCAGTGGTGACAACACTTTCATGCACCTCTCACTGAGTACCAGTGTTAACCACACTATTATACATCCCTCACTGAGTACCAGTGTTAACCACACTATCATACATCCCTCACTGAGTACCAGTGTTAACCACACTATTATACATCCCTCACTGAGTACCAGTGTTAACCACACTATTATACATCCCTCACTGAGTATCAGTGTTAACCACACTATTATACATCCCTCACTGAGTATCAGTGTTAACCACACTATTATACCTCCCTCACTGAGTATCAGTGTTAACCACACTATTATACATCCCTCACTGAGTACCAGTGTTAACCACACTATTATACATCCCTCACTGAGTATCAGTGTTAACCACACTATTATACATCCCTCACTGAGTATCAGTGTTAACCACACTATTATACATCCCTCACTGAGTACCAGTGTTAACCACACTATTATACATCCCTCACTGAGTACCAGTGTTAACCACACTATTATACATCCCTCACTGAGTACCAGTGTTAACCAACCTTTCATGCACCTCGCACTGAGTACCAGCGTTAACCTCCCTTACATGCACCTCTCACCGAGTACCAGTGGTGACAACACTTTCATGCACCTCTCACTGAGTACCAGTGTTAACCACACTATTATACATCCCTCACTGAGTATCAGTGTTAACCACACTTTCATGCATCCCTCATCGTGTTCCAGTGCTTATCACACGTTTGAACGCACCTCACAGTGTCTTCGTGTTAACGCACCCTCAATTCTTTAAACAAGCACTCAGAGCATGGTTCACTGTCCAACACAAGCCCCGCCCATTTTCATAACCACCAATCAGGAAAGAGTATTCATTTAGTGGCCTAGTCTATTTTTCAGTTAATGGACACTTAAACGTAAAACAGTTGTTTGTCATCCAACCAAATGACACGGAATCACTTGGAATATATTTATCAAACGTTATAAGTGTGTGTCATGACCGTTATACCATGTGGAGTACATACCAAATTTTAGCTGATGACGTTACGAACACTAAATGTGAATACTTTTCATGCAGTAACTACCCACTTCTTACACACTTATCGTGGTGTAAACTTACGAGAACAACATATTTGTTGTACCCAATAAGATGTGAAAGCCTTAGTGACAATTTCAGGTTTGAAGAAAACACAAAACATAAAGCAACCTTGACTTCAATTGTGTACCATCTGTTTGTGTCCAAATATAGATTCCGCAAGACTTTTCACGTTCCTAATAGTTTGAGATGCTGGACATTAATGTACAATTATTTTCTTCACTTGCTTTCCCCTAACGGGGACGACTAAATTAAGTCCCCTGGGCGCCAGCTGGACGGCACTGCCGTAACGTATGATTGCCGTCAATTTGTCAATTGTAATGATGTTTTTTTCTGAAGACAAGGTTACCTTTCTTCAAAGCACGTTCGTACGCACGGTTTCGACCAAAGCTCTGCGTCAGGTTTTTCCTAATTTGCAAAATAAAAGTGCCTGCAGATATTTTCAGCGCATTGATCGTCCTTTATTATTGATTATGAGCATTTTTCATTGAAAAATAACTTCACATCCCCGGAGTACACCGTGTCAATTATGATGACAAGATGTTTTTCCTGAAATGCTGAAACAAGTTTTGCATACATTCCAAAACATGTTTTTACTGTCAGAATATGTATTTTGGTGACTAATTATGTTTTAAAAATATATTGACGTGAATACTCGAGCTGCGAATCAATTGTACGTCATTCATGTCTTGTGCAGAGCATGATTTTGAATGAATTGTATCGTTTTTGATAAAAATTATATATATATACACACGGTCAAAAAACGTACAATGATGATGATAGTGAGCGTCATCATTTACACACAACTTGGTTGTTATTATCGTGTTTATTGCTGATTTTATCATCAACAGTGATTTTGTAACGCAAATCTGTTATGAGACTCGTTATCGCATCATGTCATAAGTTCAACGACACCTATGCAGAATGCTTTGTCGTGCCAGGAAGTTATACATATTACGAGCAATAACTGAGCATAATGGGTAAATAATTACATACAAATGACATGACCCAACGCGTTATGAACGTAATCAGCATGTTATACCACAGGGAACACTGGTAACAGTAAACTACAGCTGCCCAATGGTATAATAAATGCTCTCACTAGATGGAGTTTCGCTGTAACCTGACGCCACGCTATTTTTGATAACTACTGTAACCTTTGAGTCGGGTCAAATTCAGATTCCATCTAAACGTTTACTTAAAAAATGCGCGGTGAAATTTCAGTCGAGATTTCAATTATCAACATATGAGAAGTACATACAAAACGTCAGCTCCGGAGAACAATCAGTCATGATTATCTGCCGAAACAGATTCTATTGGGTGTAAAATGCAACTGGTGGTTAAAATTATATGAATGGATCAGTAACAATCAGTGATGATACCGGGTGCTTGCGAACAGGGTCAGCATGTCGTTGCACAATATATATATAAAATAGGATAGTGTTTGTTGCCTGGGGCCTGTTCCACTCAGCAATGACTAAGGTCATAATATATTTCTTTGTATCATCTTCCTCATTCCGCCGGGTACCCGAGTGATTAAAGTGTTCTCTCGTCATGCCAACGGCCCGGGTTCGATTCCCGACATGGGTACAATGTGTAAAGCCAATTTCGGGTGTCCCCGCCATTATATTGATGGAATATTGCTAAAAGCGGCGTAAAGCCATATTCACTCTCTCTTTCTCTTCTCTGACTCCCATCGCTCATAAATATCAATAACCCATAACAGATCTCTGCACGTAAGACCGAACCGGGCGACAATGATTGAATGCTTCTTTTTCTGCAATATGATTGTGATAATGGAATTGAATCATCATGCTTTTATATCACACAGATGAATTTTAATTAACTGTTGTAATAAGGTATACTTGTTCGTTCTGTCAGTTGTTATCTTGTATTATGTGAACATGAACACTTGAATATTAAATATAGGATAAGCACAGTGTGAAAATTAAGAACAATAGTACAGTTCAAGGATTCGATCCCTAGTACATAATGGCTGCATTTAGTGTGGTGCCATAGGTGATATCGTCAATACTATTGTTTAGGGAAAAAGATCGTATCCCTATAAATACTAACATAGTGAGTATAGTACGACGAGCAGGACAAGGATAATAACAATACCAGAACATGCAGGACAAGGATAATAACAATACCAGAACATGATTGTTTATACAATAAGGCTACATCTTATAGGACATTATGACCAAGAACTTTATAATTGGATAAGGCTCTGTTTCATAACGTAATAACGTAGTTTATGAGTTTCTATGGAGTAGAAAATATCACTGATTGAAGATTATGCTCATAGACTACGATGCATTATGGCCGTGGGGGGATAGGTTGATGGTAGAGAACAAAACTATACATAACATAAAGGATAATTATCTTACCACGATAAGAGATACCAGCTGTCTGTGTGGCTTTGTGACGAAGATCAAAATGTGTTTGGATGCAATAGTCATGACTCCAGTAGCAGGTCATGCTTCAAATAAAGTGACCTACATATAAGTATATAGGCTGTATTAGTCACGTTCGTGTTATTGAACCAAATAATTCATATTTTGAGTTTCTATATATGTCTAAAATACACTACCATTTCTTATTATATTATAATCGTCCAACGGTATGTATGTCAGGTTATTTAGTTTCACAAACATTATCGTATGTTGGATCATTCGATACAGTTCTACCAACGCATAATATTACGAAGGAATATAATCCGATTGGATCTTCTATCCATGTGATGTCGGTGTGCATGTACAGATCAATATGGGTGTACACAATGGTGGGGTAACGATGCGTGTGTGGGACTAGGACTGCGACATCTGTTGCTCTATGTCAAGCTGGGATAGACAGCATACGGTGAAGTATTACACGGGATATTTTCTCTTCTGGTTATACGAGTGACCTATTATTCCTTTCCACCTTGCGGTAAAACATTACAAATGGTATAAATAAATCAACTCCATATGGTTAGACATTACAGGGACTTGAATGTCCTGTACACCATACGGTAAAACATTATACAGAACACGAATGTCCTGTACATTGTACAATGAAGACATCAAATGTCATCTACAGAATACGGAAAAGCGTTACACAGGACTCAAGTGTCCTCACCACCATAAGGTAAAGCGTATCTCAAATGTCATCTTAACCATTCGGTAAAGCATTACACAGGTCTCAAATGTAATGTACACAATACGGAAAAGGGTTCGACAGAACTAAAATGTCCTCTCCACCATACAGTAACATTACACAGATCTCAAATGTCATCTATATGTAAATTAGTAAACAGATTTCAAATGTCCTCTACACCATACAGTAAAACATTACACATGACTCAAATGTCATCTTCGCCATGCGGTAAATTATAACACATGACTCAAATGTCATGTTCGCCATGCGGTAAATTATTACAAATGACTCAAATGTCATCTTCACCATGCGGTAAATTATTACATTGACATGTAATGTAATCTACAGAATTCGGAAAAAGCGTTACACAGGACTCAAGAGTCCTCTCCACCATACAGTAAAGCATTACACAGATCTCAAATGTCATCTAAATCATACGGTAAAGCTTAACACAGGACTCAAGTGTCATCTAAACCAAATGTTAAAGCATTACACAAATCTCTCATGTCATCTTAACTTTACGATAAAGCATTACATAGGTCTCAAATGTCCTCTCCCTCATACGATAAAGCTTTACACAGCACTCAAATGTCATCTTCGCCATGCGGTATATTTTTTCACAGGTCTCATATGTCATCTACACCATACACTAAGGCATTACATAGGTCTCAAATGTCCCCTTGGGGCACGGGTGGCCCAGTCGTCGCAGGCGCCGCGATTCGTTGTGCACGCCAGAAAGCTATGATTGTGGGTTCGAATCTAGGTTCGCCCCGATTATGTTTCAAGGTTTGTCATCACCATACCCGTGCTCGTGGGTTTCGCCGAAGTGATAAACGTCTAATACCTGCATCACTTCGGGCTTTCCCACATTAAGCTGACACGCCGTGATATAACTGGAATACTGTTAAAAGCGGCGTTAAACCCAAATCACTCACTCACTCACTCACTCACTCTCTCGCTCAAATGTCCTCTACACCATATGGTAAAACATTTCACAGATCTCAGAAGTCGTCTACACAATACGCTAAAGCATTACACATGACTCAAAGGTCATTTAAACCATACAGTAAGGCATCGCATAGGTCTCAAATGTCTTCTCCACCATAAGGTAAAGCTTACATAAGAATCAAATGTCTTCTGCACCTTACGGTAAAGCATTACGCAGCTCTCAATTGTCATTACCATTGAAATCGTCAACTCAAAACTCGAGGGCGCGGTAGCAACCATTAGACATATCTGCCAGAGTGTATATTAGTTGTATATTTGATATACTAGTATATGCAGTGCGTGCCATTTAGGTGGCCATTGTATTGATATGTTAAACATTTCACATATGATTATCCATAATTCATTTAGCTTTTACATTATCTGACATAGATGCCCATGTGATTAAGCAGGTTGACAAAAGCAATGAATTTGAATACATGTGTATATGCTTTGTTTTTACACAATCAGTCTGTTCATAATACAGATGTATATCTCAAATAGCCCCAGAGTGATATCACAGACAGAGCATTTTGTCAACCTGTCGGAATATGACCATTTGGTATTTGGCTTTAATGTAGAATGTAGCAGGATTATGTAGTTCCCTCAACATTCATATCGATGAAGTGCAATGCTAAAGATAGCGATATGACCTGCCCCCGTTGTATGTATTCCCTTCAGTGGTAGACTGTTTGTGGCACAGAGCCTCAACATAACGAAGCATTACTCGCGCCTAACACCTGCTGTCAAATTGTAGCCTAGCCCACGTCGTATTTGAACGAACTGGGACAGCAGCGCTGACAAGCCTATCTAACTGGATTCAGACAAACAAAACACTTACCCTAGATGTTTCACAATCAGGGAAAACGATCGACACTTTAGGTTTCCCCATGCTGGATATGTTTATGTGGTACACGTATGACAGTCCTCCCTCGGTGTATCATGGCCGAGCACCGCGTCCCGTCCCACTTAGCGTGTATGTACGTCTGAACCGATCAATAATGACAACTGGTTGCGATTTTGCAACTGTTGGTCTATCGTATAACAATGTATAGTGACTGTTTGTCATCAGTTGATGCTTAGTCAAGCATAGAATTGCCAATGTAGGTTATTTAACAAGACTCTCATTGTGCACCATGTTGGCGCTTGTTAAAGGGTCATTACCGTCAAACGATTTACAGACTGGCATGTTGATAAAAGCTCGCTGTGTTTCAGATTACCAACAACTTCCCGAAGTCATACTGACGTCATTTCAAATCATACAATGTAAATACGTTTCTACTATGGCATTGGTCCAAGAATCTGGTTGCCATGGGTCTTCAGGGGCACCAAGGTCTCTGTTGCTCTTAACGCGAGAAAGAGCTATGGTCAAAGGTCATGTTTATTGATTATCCGTGGATTAGCTCAATCCCTGTGTTTGGCTCAGTGGGGACTTGTTTACGACGGTTCGAAAATGTGACCAGTATCCTCAAAAGCATCACATTCGCGTCCTTGGTGGGGAATCGATGTTATTATCTTCTTCAAATAGGAGAAATAACCATAAATAGTCATCATTTGATGCAAACATATTGTGGGCAATAGTAAGAGCTTATATCTAGCTACTTTGACCATAATATCGCTATCAAGAAAAGAATGTTTCGGTAGTGACTGCATTTGAAATTAAATTGAGAAAGTGTAGCGTTTGCCCTTGGATACGATGTATATAGTTGTATTATTCTCTTGCTTAAACTATCCTTTTTCAAAATTCATGTATATGTGTTTTTGTCGAAACACCACTTAATATGTTGTGGGAGATGATAACATTCCTTTTCAGACATGATCGATGCTTTTAGAATTCATAACCATTTTAAAATGATTAAAACCCGAGGGGTTTACTTTCTCTGCACAAGGAAAGGCCCTCTGTACAAGGAACCAACATATTCTGTATGTCTATGATGACGTCCACGACCTATGTTAACATAACAGCACATCAACAGCATCAACAGCATCGTATCTACCACCACCTTTCAACTTGATATTCTAACTCTTAAAAAAATAAAATAAATATTGCAATGACAAAAATAGTAGTATTAGTAGATTTGACACAAAATGGAAAGAATTACCAACCTACTTATTATGATATATTAGTCAATCCAATTTATGTATAGTACCCACATCTTGATAATGTTTCAAGATCCTATGAAGTGCTACACTTCTAAACCTCATGTACCTATGTTACAGATATAAGTCTACTAAATTTAAATTTTAAAAAATAAAAAATAAAACTCTTCAAAAAGACTATGCAATTCCTAATTAGAACGGGCACATGTCGGATATCCTTACGTATGAGTCCTTATGCTTGTGATAAGGCATTGATCTGTGACGCTGATGACAAGGCGTGGGAGTGGTCTTAACATTTGACATTCAGATAGAATTCTCTTGATGAATTTGAAACGTGCTAACGGTTTGCAAATATCAGGCTGGAAACTGATGGTTCTTTCTGATTGGAGGGAATGAAGAAGTGGGCAAACTGTTTGAAAGAGCACCATGGTATTCAAGTATACAGGGTGTTCAGAGTTTACCTTTTCTTATGCGTTGGCATGTGATATAAATTAACATTAAAACTTGTGTCTACGCCGCGGCTTGAACAACAGTATTGCAGATACAGACACTTGTTAATTACTTAGTAAGGAGTTGGGTGTCACTCAGCCTTGTTGCAATCACATTGTATGCAACACGATATTCATGATCAGCCAAACCTTTGCTTCTTGTGCTACTGGGCCCCTTTGGACTAATATATATTTCACTAACACTGCTATATCACGGCGCGTCAGCTCTAAGCTCGACAACAGCGTAGATGTGTTTCATTGTAATAAAACCCATGAACACTATGAAATATATGATTCTGACAAAATAACAAAAACAACATGATCTTGGAAGGGAAAGAACAAATCCACGCAACGCTGGGGTTAACGAACGATATTAATGTCTGCGTAATGAAATATTGCGCATTAGTGAAAGCTCAACATTCACTATAAGACAAGGAACCATCACACGTACGTTCTGATAGAAAGATTATACTGGATTCCATCTGAAATGTGACAGGTATGTATTAATCTACTCACCAGAAACAGATTGTTTCTGGTACTGGGATCATTAGTTAGGAAAGTAGTTCAAGCTTTTGCCCATCACGCTGAAAACGCTTGTGCGATCCCATATGGGTGCAATATATACAGCCTATTCCCAATGTCATCAGCATGATATAATTGGGAATATTGGCGAAGCACTTACTTTAATATCATGTTCAAATGTCGTTAGATCAGAAATGTCCTGCCGTTGAAGCACCACTAAGGAGAATTCATTCGACTCCCTTTAGTGACCTTGTTATGAAGAGGGTATGTTTCATGTTTCTTTTAAACATTTTAAAGATGCTTTTTAAAACCATTGACGTGATACCTTCGATGCATCTTTTGTGACCAAACATCCGACTCCAAATACTTGAAAAGAGCATGCAGAAAACCAGAAAATTGACTTTACTGATGGTTATCTTAAGTGCAACGGCGGATTAATGAGATACCACTGTAAGTTATAAACCCAACATCTCATGGTCATAGTTGGCAATGGACCTTAACAGCTTCTGTATACTCTTCCCCTGTTTTCTCTCTATATTGATGATGAACCAGAGCACCTGTCCGAAATCGATAAGACTCTGTATGTCGATCAATCTAATATTTATTCTGCCAATAGGTAGGCAAACACGACGTGGTGTATTAGAACTACAAACCACAGGATATCAATCATTTCCCTCAGGTTGAAGGATCCTCCATGAATCAGAAATCGCTGGGTATGATAACGCAAATACATAAAAGTGACAAAACCCTTTCCATATTCATAAGAAATCTCTACTAAAAGCAGAATTCATTGCACGATTCCGACTATATCATGAGCATGTGTTAATGAATACAGCAGTCACAGAAAGGTTATTTGTTTCTTCTGCAGAGCTACAAATAATATACCCAGAAGGCCCTGACGTTTGAAAGCTCGATTTTGGCAGATAACGTAACCATATCGTTGCTTATTATCGTCCGCCTAAGGCTGGGACATCAACAGTGCGCCGTGTGGTATTGCATGTCACGATAACAGACAGCACTGTCCTATACGTTCGTGACTTGTCACTTATCTCTGAAGTCAATTCTGTAATTGGTGCGAGTTTGTCGTAATATATGACATTTGACCGATAGATCGTAGTTAAAAATATGTTTTACTTTGGAAACGTTTAGAACTGAGGGTATTGTTTGATAATACAATACACAGAGAGCCACTAGTGACGTCCGCTTTGACGTCGGAGGTTGTTGATACAGTTATTGTGTGATTGTCACGCACTATATACAGTCAAGTGAAAAGTTCTGCTTTTAGAAACGTGAGATCTGCTAAATTGAAACGTCATGTATGACGAAGTCAATTCTCATTGATCATGTCACTATGCTAATGTACCGTTTTGCACCGAATTGCGGTCATAACGACATACTGTCGACGTTTCTCCTGGTGAGTAAGCGAAGAAGTTAGGGTTAACGCCGCTTTGAACAATATTCCAGTTATATCACGGCGTGTCAACTTGATGTGAGAGGAAAGCCCGAAGTGATGCAGGTCTCATACGTTTACCACGAACATAAGCATGAAATCGAGAAATATAATCGGGGCGAAACAGGATTCGAAGCCAACGTCATAGGTTTCTGGCGTGCCCAAGGGACGCAACTCTGCACAGCCAATTGCGGCGCCTTAGACGACTGGGACCCCGTGCCCCCGACGTTTCTCTGGAGTTTGTTACAGCAGAATTTAACTGTCAAAATAATATATTTTTGTTGCAGCTTTTATGAATCCAAAAAAGGTTGATGGTATTATTAATATCCCATTTAGTATTTTTATGTTCATCAGATGTTCATCCCGTTTCACTGGGTTATCCTAAGCCGCGTTAAATAGTCAACTCATTCAACGTTTTAATATGAAACGTCAACGCCAGAGAATCCTTTCACAATTATAACGGCGTAGCACCACCGAAATATTTACTTGAATACTGTAATAGTTCATACATTTTTGTCGTTTAATACGTGATCAGCTGTGTACACGGTGTGTAACCTACTGACGTTAACACTTACAGAGCAGCTATATTTTTTTAATTAAAACGAAAGTCTTTTTAACAGTAGAACACCGCGGTTGCTGGAATCAGAGAGTATAAATGGATGGCAGATATATTGCTGTTACACAAAGCAAAGATCGTCCATTGTCACAGTTAGTCAATATTATGGTAATCAAATCTCGTTGCAATGGTTTTCTAACAATCCCTTGTGTCTCATCTGCGGGCACTAATTATTCTAGAGGAAGAGATTCTTGCAGTGAGTAGTACGTCGACTGTTTATCAATGGATGAGGACACAAGGAAGAATGAGAGGCTATGTTTGTTAGAAACACGTAAATGTTCATGCAAAAGTAAACAGTACTAAAGAGATAATTGATAATCATTCATGCTACATTTGTAAATATGTATAAAAAGCCCTCTTGTGTGGGATTTCATATGCATAGAAAATATACGAACATCTATCAGATGAGTTTTAACAAACATTTATGTAAATGTTATGAATATACACTTGAACGATGATGTATTCTTTAATACACAAGTACGTAGTTCATACCAGACAATGAAGAAAACACACGTATCCACTGAGCAAATTGATTTCTTCACATGTCAGAAATGTAATGTTTGGTTTTAGACTTAACATTTACGACTATCCCCAAGGGTTATTGGAACATGTTATGGGATACACAGTTGAGCATCCGATCAAAAAGCATATCCATCAATATTTTCTTTCTGTCTCAAGCCACAGTGAAATCAATAAAAGGCCCTGCATCAAATCGATAAGACAACCATTACCATTACCAAACAAACACGAATGTCGTGATCGTAGTTGACCATCTAGAATCATTGAATTCAAAGTATTAGTATCTATACTAACCTGTGG